CCCCTTGAGTTTTGGTACCAAATGTTAAATCACCGAAGGAGGAACGCATGAGGCCAGAATGGTGAGGGTTTACGAATTTATTCAATCATCCGCACGCCCAATGGCTGAGCCTCAGATGGTTCCAGCAACCCCCAAAGACTGGGAGTCAGAGGTTTTTAAAGGACTCTAGGCAGGCTTTTTCTGGGCAGAGAATTCTCTGTGCAGGTTCAGAGGGGAGAGATCAAGGAATATGGTCTCAGCAAGTAAAGTGTGGTCTCAGCAAAAGGGAATGTCCTTAGTGATATGGCCTGAAAAGTCAGTTCCCAGGGGAGGGATATCGATTCAATTGCTCAATCAAACCTAACAAGTAGGATTTTCTTTTATTGATAATAATATGTTATTGTGTATATAATCACATCTTCTTTATCCATTCATCAATCAGTGGACACAGGTTGTTTCCATATCTCGGCTATTGTGATTAATGCTATAGTTAACATGGGGGTGCAGATATCTTAACAAAATCTTGACTTCTGTTTCTTTAGGTAAATACCCAGAAGTGGGATTGCTAGATCATATGAGTCTTATTTTTCATTTATTGAAGAACCTCTTTACTGTTTTCATAGTGACTTTACCAGTTTACAAAACCCACCAACACTGCACAAGGGTCTCCTTTTCTTCACATCTCACCAACACTATTTCTTTTGTTGACAGCCATTGTAACAGGTGTGAGGTGATACCTCATGGTTTTGATTTGCATTTCCCTGGTGATAACTGATGTTGAGCACCTCTTCATCTACCTGTTGGCCATTTGTATGTCTTTGGAAAACTGTGTATTTAGTTTCTCTGCCCATTTTTTAATTAGGTCATTAAATTTTTTGCTATTGAGTTGTATGAGTTCTTTACATATTTTATATATTAACCCCTTGTCATATAATGATTGACAAATATTTTCTTTTATTCCGTTGGCTGCTTTTTCATTTTGATGATGGTTTCTTTTGCTGTGCAGAAACTTTTTAGTTTAATGTAGTCCCACTTGTTTATTTTTTGCCTTTTTTGCTTGTGCCTTTGCTGTCATATCCAGGAAATTACTTCCAAAACCAATGCCAAGGAATTTTCCCTCTGTTTTCTTCTAGGAGTTAGTTTCAGGTCTTACGCTAAGTCTTTAATCCATTTAAAGTTTATTAAGTAGATTAAGATAGAGGTCCAATTTTATGTTTCCACATGTGGTTATCCAGTTTTCCCGGCACCATTTATTGAAGAGACTCTTTTTCCAGTTGAGTATTCTTAGTTCCCTTGTCAAATATTACTTGACTAGAGGCCCAGTGCATGAAATTCGTGTACTGGTACTGGTAGGGTCCCTAGCCGCTGGCGGTGGCCAGCCGGGTACTCACTCCCTTCCTCCAACTGCCTGCTATCACCTGCCTGCCGCTGATGCCAGCTGGGGCCTCCCTCTGTTCCCCCGGCCCTGCCCCCTGGTCGAACTCCCAGAAGAACTCCCAGTTAAGGGGACAATTTGTATACTACGCTTTTATTATATAGGACTGGTGGCCTGGTGCACAAAATTCATGCACATTAAAAGGGAATTAATTAGAGGAAATATTTTAATATTGCTATTTGCCCTTTGTCGGGGGCGGGGACACGAGCCTCATGTCCCGAGGGGCCTGTTGCCAGGGTCGGGGACGCGAGCCTCAAGTCCCCAGGCCGGCGCAGGGGATGGGGACACAAGCCTCACGTCCCCGGGCTGGTGCAGGGGATGGGGACACAAGCCTCACGTCCCCGGGCTGGTGCAGGGGACGGGGACACAAGCCTCACGTCCCCAGGCGGCGCAAGTCCCTGCCCACCGATGCTGCAAGTTCCCGCCCACCCGCTCCTGCTCATGCAGCCTGCTGATCAGTCGTTATGTGATGGCATCCCGACCAATTTGCATATTACCTATTATTAGATAGATTATATATGTGTGGGCTTAGTTCTAGGCTCTTGACTCTGTTCCATTGGCCTGTGTGCCTATTTTTATGCCAGTTTCATAGTGTTTGATTACTATACCCGTGTAATGTAGTTTGAAATTGGGAATATTATGGCTCCAGCTTTGTTTTTCATTCTCAGGATTGCTTTGACTAGGGTCTCTTGTGATTTCATACAAATTTTAAGATTTTTTTTTCTATTTCTGTGAAAAATACCATTGGTATTTTCTTAGGGATTGCATTGAATCTATATATTATTTGGGGTATTATGGATATTTTAATAATATTAATTATCCTAATCTATGAATTTAGTATATCTTTCCATTTGTTTGTGTCTTCTTTAATTTCTTTAATCAGTGTCTTGTTATTTTTGGTATACAGGTCTTTTATTCCTTGGTTAGATTTATTCCTAAGTATTTATTGTTTTTGATGCTACTTAAATGAGATTGTTTTATTTCTTTTTCAGATGTTTTGTTGTATCCTAAAACTTTACTGAATTTGTTGATTAGTCCTAGAGGTTGTTGGTGGAGTCTTTAGGATTTTATATATATAAGATCATATTATCTGCAAACAAAAATAATATTACTTCTTCCTTTCCTATTTGGATGCCTTCTGTTTCTTTTTATTGTCAGATTACTCTGGCTAGGACTTCCAGCACTATGTCAAATATATAAAACCCTAAGCGACCGTTATGACTGAACAACCGGAACAACCGGTTGCTGTGATGCACACTGACCACCAGGGGGCAGACACTCAACACAGGAGCTTCCCCCTAGTGGTCAGTGTGCTCCCACAGCAGGAGCGCCACTCAGCTGTCCGACCCTTCCCAGCAGCCCACCAGCCCAGTGGCAGCCACTCACTCCTTCAGTAGTCCTGCAGGTCCAATCTCCAGAGAACGGGCCAGGCACCAAGGGACCAGCACCGCCCTGCACCGGGCACAGCAGCCACTTCCCTCCCCCTAGAATCTCTGCAAGGAAGAAACAGTATAAAAGCGGCCGCCAGGTGGCTCCCAACAACCAGCACAAATGTCAGCCAGGATGGATCCGGATTGCCTAGCGCCCACTGGGAGGCCCGAATCGAATCCTGGCTTCCCCCACCCCCTGGGGATCCCACCACACCCTTCAGGACCCCACCAGGCCGCTAGTGTTAAATAAGAGTGGTGAGAATGTGCACCCTTGTCTTGTTCCTGATTTTAGGAAAAGCTTTCAACTTTTCACCATTGAGCATGATGTTAGCTGTGGGCTTGTCATATATGGCCTTTGTTATGTTGAGGTATGTTCCTTCTATACTGAATTTGTTGAGCATTTTTATCACAAAAGGATGTTGTATTTTGTCAAATACTTTTTTTGTAGTGATTGGTATGATCATGTGATTTTTATATTTCATTATATTAATGTGGTATATCACATTTATAGATTTGCATATGTTAAATCATCCTTACATCCCAGGAATAAACCCCAGTTTATTATGCCAAGTGATCCTTTTAATGTGATATTGAATTCTGTTTGTTAATATTTTGTTGATAATTTTTGCATCTATGTTCATTAGGGATATTGATCTATAATTTTCTTTTCTCGTAGCTACCTTATCTGGCTTTGGTTTCAGGGTAATACCGGCTTTGTAAAATGAGTTTGGGAGTGTTCCCTCCTGTCCAGTTTTTTGGAAGAGTTTGAGAAGGATTGCTGTTAATTCTTCTTTAAATGTTTGGTATAATTCACCAGTGAAACTATCTATCTGGTCCTGGGCTTTTCTGCTTGGGGAGGGTTTTGGTTACTGAATTTATGGATTACAGACCATTTGATATTGGTCTATTCAGATTTTCTATTTCTTCATGATTTACTCTTAGTAATAGATTGAATGTTTCTAGGAATTTATTTGTCTCTTCTGGGTTATCCAGCTTGTTAGCATATAATTAATTGTTCATAGTAGTTTCTCATGATCCTTTGTATTTCTGTGGTATCATTTGTAATATATCCTTTTTCATTTCTGATTTTATTTAATTGAGTTCTCTGCCTAGTTAAGGTTTGTCAGTTTTATTTATTTATTTTTTTAAAAAAAACAGCTCTTAGTTTTATTGATCTTTTCTCTTATTTTTCGGGTTAGGTTCTCTTATTTTAACTTTGAGAATGGAAAAGTTCATTTCTCAAAAGAGCACTTTATACAAATAAGAAGAATGAGTGGGATTGCTCCTGTTTCAACAGTCTGTATAATAAGGTCTACCCTTTAATTTTCAAAAGCCTTGGCTCTTTAAGTGGGAATAAAGAAAAGAATCAAAAAATGACCCTTTGTGACTAAGTCACTACCAGTGTCATGGGAAAAGCCAAGATCAGTGTTTTTCATAATTTTGACCATACCCACCATAGCAAATACATTAGGACCCAGTAAACAAATGTAGTCGCAGCTAAAAGTTGCAAGAAATAATACTTAATTCTGATTATGTACTATGCACCACTCTAATGCTTTTTATTTTATTGTGTTCTGTTTCATTCTATTTATAGTCCATTGCAGGATTTTTTTGGTTTGGTTTTGCATTGTATTGTTTCTAAATGCTGATCCTAACCCACTAAGGGGTCATAAGTTGCAGTCTGACCAGTGCTGACAAGGGGCAGCAGAGGGGTCCTGTTTGAGTTAACTAACATTCAATGCGTGCCTCACCCCTGCAGCCTCCACACCTCCACCCTGCATTTGTATTCATTCTTGGTTTCCCCACAAATGCTACTCCCAGCTTTTCATGTGACCATGTCTTTGTTCTGCATACACTGCCACTTTGTTTGCTGGCCCTACCATGTAAGCCTTATATCTTTGTTCTGGGCACTGATTGGCTGATGGCTCAATGGCCTTCACATATCCAAAGGATAAAGGGGAGAGGAGGGCTGAAATCAAAGTTTTAGGGAAGGCCTGGCCTCCGTGGACAAGAAGCCTAAACCTGGAAAAGGCAAGGGTGGTGATGATGCTCATGGCTACAGGAGATGGATAAAGAATGTGCCAAGACCAGAAAGTCAAGTTCAGAATTATAGAGTTGTGCTCATTCCCCTTTCCTCTGCCTCTTGCTGCCTGCAGGTAAATTCTACTGCAAACCACACTACTGTTACCGACTCTCCAGCTCTGCACAGAGGAAGAGACCAGCAGTGACTCTTCTGTCTGGAAAGGTAATGGTAATCCATCTCTAAGTGGGGAGAAGCAGCAGGCACTATGTATTTCAGTGTTGTGACAGTGTGTAGCCAGCAGAGCCTGCTGAATGGCCACTGAATTGCTTTTCCTATGAGTGGGAAAGGCTTGCTTGAGAGGTGGTCATAGTCCATTTCGGGGAGGGAACCAACTTTTCAAGCCTAATCTAATTCTGCATTTCACTGAAGTAATGTTCTATCCACCACCTTAGCTGGATTTGGAAGACTGTGTCAGACCTTCCCTTCTGCTCACTCTCCATAAAAGAAGACATTTACCTTTGTAAATAAGCATCTCTCTGAGAAAAGGACAGCCTAAAAATGAACTTAGCTGTAAATAATCTGCTCTGCCTGCCAATTCCTTTCACTTTCTTTCTTGTGTGAATAACTTACCTAAGAACCATTTTCCTTTCTCTCTCTCTCTCTCTCTCTCTCTCTCTCTCTCTCTCTCTCTCTCTTTCTCTCTCTCTCTCTCTTTTTAAATGAGAGTAACCAGCTCCTCTCTCCATCTTTACTCCATGGTGTCTCCTTGTCAGGGAGCAGGCTAGCTAATGCTTACTTGGGAGACTCCTGTTGACTGCAGAAGGACTTGTAAGAAGAGGTATACTTGGGTGGAGCTAGATTTTGACTCCTCATGACTTACATGTGAAATATGTCCTGTTTTTTTAAAGAAAGACTTACTTTGTGTGGAATATAGCTCTGGGTTGACTGGTGAGAGCAACAAACTAACCAGTTGGGGTGTCATTGCCTCCTAAGATTCGAGTGCTTCAGTCAGTCACTCTTCTTTTTCTTTCGGACTTTCCTAGGAGGCCAGAGGACCCCTGCAGGATGGCCCCATTGCAGACGCAAATGCACCTGCCAGTACCATCACCAACCCTGCTGATAGAACTCCAGGTAGCCTCACTTCCTTGTTTGGCTGGGTGGCACGTCACTCGCTTGGCCTCTGTGACAAGGCCAGGGGGATGAGCCAGCACCTCCAAAGCAACATTTCTTCGATTGGGCATCAGGTGGCCCAAAACCCTTTGGACTCCTTTTTCATGTGCCAGCTGCTTGCATTCGGAGTCCCCTTTCTCTATGGCCTGTCAGAGGTGGTGGTACAAATCAGAGGGGAGTTTCACTGGCAAACCTTGGGCCAGTAGGGGCCCCATCTGGTAAGCATTATCACCCAAGCTTCATAATGTCTACTCAAAGTATTGCTATAGTCTTGTGGCCTGCCCACCTCCATCAAACACATGGAGGTGATTGCTCTAGGCTCTGCCTAGATAAACAGGAAATCTAAACAGGCTGCTTTTGTCATTGACCCAGGTGATAATTCAGAATTACAGGGCCTTCTTATAGCTCCAGTTTGGGACTCTTGACATAGCACTGAGTTTGATAAGGCCCCATTATCTGGATTTATGTTCTTTTGGACTTGCATCCCATTCCCTATTTAGGTATCTAGATGAACTGATATTTCTCTTCTATTTGATCTATAACCATTAAAGGACATGCCCTGTCCTGATCATTTTGGGGCATTTGAACTTCTAATAAGGATCAAGCCCTAATTTGTCCCACTCTTACTAACCATTTCCTTGTGTCAGGAGGTGAATGATACCATCCCTCCCTCTAAAAACACATTTATTCTGATCTTTGCAGGGCAGGATTTGGCTCATTTTGAAGAATTGTGTTCCCCCCCCCCCCCTTAAAATTGCCCCTATCTATCTATCTATCTATCTGCTCCATGTCAAACCAGCCTGTGAGATATGTTCATGGTTCCATAAGCTGATGCCCTCAGTACAGCCCAGATTGTTCGCAGGCCAGGGTCGCTGTGTAAGTAAGAGGAAATCAACAGGGCCATGTTTTTATCTATCACACATTTCATCTCATTCAAAGCAAATAATGTCTAAAGCATCCATTTACAAACTCTTAAAAATTACCATATAAAAACTAAGATTATTAGCTAATGCCAGAAACTAAGGAGAAGGAATTGGGGGTGGGAAAAGACAAGAATTTCTTACTCAATCTTCAAATGAAAGGTTCCCAGGGTTGCTTCTTTTTCTGTGTGTAAGAACTTAATGTGAACCCCATGTGTTCTGGGAGAGAGAATGTGCTAGAGGCTATGTGATACCCCTGGTGAGGTTACCTGGAGGCTAAGACTCAGCATACCCCAGCTGAACTAGGTGAGTTTGGCTCCTTCTACTGTGTGTGCCCTTATTATAATCTGGGGAAACTTTTTTAAGTGCCCTGCAGATTGGACCAACAGTTTATAGCAAAATTTAAGCCACGAATGACTTTGAAACCTTCTGTAGCCTTGAAACCCTTTACCATCTGTCTCTTTCATGAAGTGCTGATAGCCCTTTACAGAACATAGGGGGAAGTGAAAAATAACCAAAGGGATCCAAGCAGAGGTTTGGGTCTGCACTCTAGAATGTGCATTTAACCAGGTCTTATTCCAGCAGAGATGGATTTTCCAAAGAACCTGGCTGCTCAGTAAAACAGTTCAAGGAAATTAAACTTTCTTTTTGGGTATAGAGTACAGAACATTCTTTAAAATGAATAAACACCATGAAGTTCAGGTTGTTCCTGAGCAACGCTGCGATTTATTCACTTTCCCTAATGGTTCAGTTTGCCA